CCAAAAAAAACAGATAGAACCCACCCCAACAACTGTTGGTTGAGAAAGTCCACCCAATGATAAGCAAGGGCAGACTGATCCAAAGTCTGTGGGGGATGAGGCATACTAAAGCTCCCCCAATTGAGAGGCAAATCGGTTCACGTGAACCCTAATATAGGGAAGTTGTTTCATGTAAGAGAGAAGGTCTAGGGTCATAGGAAACAGGTGTAAGAGACAAAACATCACATACCTGAAAGATAATGTGTGAAAAGACCAACAACAGACAAACTGAATCAACAGGTAGTGAACGGGAAAGTGCGGCAAAGTCATCTTCAGCCTGGCACGGCTCAATGGGCACAGGAGTAAGTGGGGCAGAAGTAGGCAAGAGATGTTGGCTCATATACTGCTCAATCACCTGGCAAATGAGTGACAATATATCCCCGATGGGTTGCCTGTGCCTGTGACTGAAAATACAGCATCAGGTGCAGGCAAAGAACCCGAAGTGGTGATTTCAGAATTCATAAGCGGGTAACACGAGGTATAGATGCTTTATTAAAATATTAACTCCACAACTCTGAAGTGTAGTAAATAAAGTTAAGAAAAATATAAAAAATGAAAAAATAAACCACTTCAAGTTAACTGAACAATGTAAAAAAGAACATCTGAACTCAACAGCTGCCAAATGAGAAGTGATAGTTCGTTAGTGGCATGTAAAAGGAGTAACATGCATTACGTGATAGTAGTGCTGTCATATTGGTAGAGAGGTGATGCATGATGATTTACATGAGAGACGTGTTGGAACTTTGGATTCCAACAGAGGGAGGATTTAAGGCTTGTGGCATGCGTTTCTGAAAAGTTCGTATATAGAGGGCAGCATAAAACGAGAAAAGCTAATCTTATGAGAGCAGGGAGAGTACCTTATCAGAATTTTGTGTCTATATTTTGTAAACATAAAATGTTTTGATTGTTGTACGAGTTGTTTTTTTTAAGAATTTAGTATCAGGAAAGGATTCAACACATCTTGTATTTAATTGGTCCTGCCATGAGCATTAACCTTGGCAAATTATTACTCTGACTATTTAATGATATTTGTTACTGCAGTGGTTACAAGTACAGTGAACAAAAGTTTTACCAATATCACACTTGTATGTTTTTTTCATAATTAACACCTATTATATGAAATGGATTGGATTAAAAAAAAGCTTCCCAGCAAAATGTTAGTCACACTTAAATTTTACATACTACCACTACTTAAGTACAACAGTGAGAAACAGAGGTTTATATTATTCTCAGATTGATGCTGACATGGCAGAGAAAAGGGTCATGAGAATGATTATGCAAACTTCATTAGAGACTGGAGACAAGAACCATATCAACAGACTGACACTGATATAGCACAGTGAAAGCTACAAGAGATGTTTACCTTAACTTGGAAAAACTTCCAAATACTGGGTTAATCAGAACCTTTGAAGTAGGATTGATATCCAGAAGACGAGGATAGATACATGTAAACAGGCAGCTGAGTTACTGTCTTTTACTATAGCCAGTCATTAAATTATTTTTGGTTTTGGTTCTGAGAATTATGATGAGTTGGGAAAAATCGTCCAATTAAGTGACAGTTCTACTTGTGGGTGGACATGTAAACTATTTGGGAAGGTGCAAGGATACCAGTGAGAATTGGTATAAAACCCCTGTTTTTGGCCAGAAAGAGTCTGCTACTGAAATTAGAATCAGTTGATTCTGTCCTGCCATACCTGCCAAAAAGATCTGCTGCCAGTCTACTGAGAGAAGTTATCAACCTAAGATATGGTGTACGAAAAAGCCATGCCAGTGTCTCCCCTGCAAGGTCCAGAGAGTATGACTCGTTCAAGCTTCATGTATGTAATCAATGCTACTTCTCCTGAATCGAAGAACATAATTATAAGTTGATGTAAAACATATAGTATTAACAAGAAATTAGAAGTATCATTGATTGAGCCCAGATTGGTAACATCTGAATAGAAAGTTACTGAATAAAAGATTTAAAAAGTATTGTGAGTTTATTCAGAAATTGTTATATTAAACAGAAGTGTATACTGAACCTCAGCCTCAGAGTCAATTCTTTATTCTAACCATAAACTTCCTCGAGTTAGTGACTTGTGCGTTCCACTCACAACTGCATACCTCAATTTAATATAAATCTGGTGTGACTGGCAGCAAGGTTAAAGCTCCATTGACTAGCCTACATGGCCTGCCTGTTACAAAACCCTTCTGAAAACTGCTCACATTGATGCTACTGTTTTAGAAATTACTTATTTCATTGCAGTCAAAAAACAATTTTGAACACGTAAATCAGCAAGTCGCATGATACTTACCATAAATATAAAGTCATGGTCAAACAGAATGTATAAGAACTAATTTTTTACTTTGTTTATAGGTAGTATAATGCCCATAAAAGGTTATTACTTTTGAGAAGAGTATGTAACAGTTCTTTTCTGATGCAAAACATTCATACACTCAAAACACAAAAATATGATAAGATTAGGACAGAAAATTTAGAATTCCCAAGACAGGAATATTCTTTGTTTGTACTTAATGGCATTAGAAAAGAAAGGAATATGGGTCCACTAGGATCACAAGGACCATCCAGAAAAAGACCTGCAACAAGTCATACCCAACCAGTGGTAATAAATGTGTGGAATCTTATAACAGGTGAAAATCTCTGAACATAAAGATCAGTGGCAAAAGCCATCCATATGCCCCAGGCAACAGTACTTAACAAAAGCAAGAAGGATCTATTTCTGGAAAAGTGACACAAGTTGCTTCCATGTCATATCTGTTCCACTGTCACGTACCTGAAGCAGTTTGAAAATAAAATCGGTATTCATGCTATTCCATGAGTCACTTGGTGCGGCATCTATGTATTTCTGTTTGATTGGACTGTTGAAACAAATGCTGATAAACCATTGCACTCGTACACTTGATGAACTATGGAAAGCATGCAGCCAGAAGTGGTGTGCTCTAGACTTGACAGCCTTACAACAGAGCCTTTTGCAATGGAAACTACGCTGCAGGGCTATTGTCAGTATGTGTGGCCATCATACAAAACATGACTAAACATAGTGGCATGGGCTAATAGGATGTAGTTGAAGCTCAAATATCATTTTAATATAAGGTACTTAAACTCTATAGAATAATGAAATGTAGAAGTGATAATATACATTTGAATTACCTTCATCAAATATGTCTTCTTTAATATTTGCTCTTCCTTTCATTGTTTCCAATTTTAAACTATTTGGATTTTTTTCAGGTTCTTGTTCTATGCCATAAGCCATAAGATTTTGAAATCTTTCTTTTTCTTTAGGTGGTCTCACTGCATAAAAAATTAACTACATTTATGATATATGTTGTAAAAACTAGATCTTGTAAAGTTTTCAACCAAGTGTAAGTAAGGTACATTAAGATACATCATTTATTTATACATAAGTATGAAAATGATCTTTATCTAAAATAATAAAACAAGTCAAATATAATTTATACTACAACAAAATCTCAAAAGTTGTACATGCTTGTCATTTAATATCACTTATGTATGTAGTATTAAACAAGCTTAATCTAGATCAGTCTCTCTACTAATATATTTAAGCTATTTTTACAGTGTACTCAATACACAATAATACAAAGCTTGCATGAGAAGTGAATATTTTTGCTTATTTAGCAAGATAAAGATGATCAAATATAGTAAAATTAATGGATTACATTCATAAGGGATAATTCACAGAAGATAACAATGTGAAAACACAACATAACTAGATAACAACTTGCATCCTAAACTAGAAACCCGATATAAACAGGCATGATTCTTAACAATGCATTAAGAAATTTTTGCAATGAGAACGTAAAAGTAATAGAAGATCTCTCAGGTCACAAAAATTACCAAACATTTTGATGAAACACTTCCCTACAAAATTTTGCTCAAACTACTCACAAATCAGAAAAATGGCCATTCATGACCACTGTGTATTTAAAACAAACATAACACTTTTCTATCCAAATGTAGACAACTGATAAAATTCCAATTCAAAGAATATTTTATGAGAAGCATCTACAACCTATCCATCAATATATTTATTTATTTTTAGTCAGGCTTGTACCACATACTCTGATTTCCGATAGAAAGTTATCCCCAATACACTGCAAGTTCAGAAATTGTTATTAAAGAATAAACTGAACAAAGACAGTAAAGGAAAAACAAGAGAACAAACAAAGAAAATCATTATTCACAACTAAATGCATGCTTAGGTCTTTACTGAACTGGCAGTTTTCTATATTCTATACCAGAATAGTCTAGTGGCTGGAGCAGGAGAACGAACATCTGCATGAGTTGAAGATAGGACCAATAACTATAATAATACTATACTTTAAGGTCTGATAAAACTTCTAGTGTGGTATCCCACAAACTTGGGTTACTTACAACAACAATCATCCCCATTACAGATATTCAATGGAGATAAACCCCTTACTCATTCTAGCTTTTACAAGTCTCTGTACAACCCCTAAAAATGAGTATGACCTTAGTGCAGAGGTACATAATGCAGAAACAAACAAGTATGAGCTGCATTGAACAACTATTGTGGTATATATAACTTCTGGCTAAGCTAGAAGATTATTGTATGTCTATGACTTTTTCCACATCCATTTTATGAGAACGTCACAGCTACAAGCAGAGTACCTGCATGAATATGTAGAAAAAAGTTAACTAAATGTCAAAATAACGATATATTTTTTAGTTGTTATGGAATGGTAAAACTAGTCCTTTTAGCTGCAACAAATTGAAATATCATTCATTAAACCATTAACCATTCTGTTAATGGATTTTAACACCGTTAAACTTGTGTCCACTAAATTACTACACATGTTAAGTTTCTATAAAGAATCATTCACAGAAACATTAGCAATCTTCCACTGGACAGTGATTACATAGTATTCTGAAAATTATAAATACCATTAATGAAGATATGAAATCCTTAAAAAAAACCATTTACAGTAGAAAAATAGTCTGACTTACAGAGATACTTTTGTTTTTTCCCTTTCTTGCTTTGGTTGTTTGTAAAGGATTATTATTCAAGTGGTTTACAGAACTTTCTTACAACTAAGATTTATCCTTCATAAAATTAATCATACGTTTTACACTGTAATATACTTTCACTCAGAATGCTTTCTCTTAAGAAAGAGAAAATAATAAACAACTTACCTAGGGATGGACTTGGCTTAAATTTTTCTCGTTCATATGCACCAGATTCTTCAATTGATTTTCTAGATCTCAGTCCACAACTGATAGTGTTACGTAAGCAGTCTTTAGGTGTACGAATCACTGGGTTCTTGTTTCTTTTATATCTTGACAAATTATGTTCTTGAAGGTTAGCACAAAATAAACTTCTACCATCTAAAATAAAATTGTAAAGCATGTTTTACATCTTATCTGATAAACTGTTCATTTCACTTACTTAAATAACATTTCAGAAATATTATAAAATGTGACATATTAAACAGTTACTTTGGAAATGCACATGATAATCAAACTAATGTTTTTGACAAGTTCAAAATCATTTAACATACTGTTGCGTCAGCGAGGTCACGTTTGTAAAAGAGCGACTGTTGAAAATAAGTGTATCGGTAAAGTTATATTCAGAAAGAATAAACCAGTTTTATTAAGTAAGGACTTGTGTCGCTAAAGTTTTGTCGGAACGAAGTTACGGAAAATCAATTAACAAAGGGAGATGTAACAAATTGGTGTCAGAAGTGGGAAGAAAAAAAATGGAAACGAGAGGCGGAAAATCAAACTACAGCTTAGCAGACTTGATGGCAGCAATACAAGAGCAGCAAAAGAAACAAGAAGAGAGACAACAGCAGCT